CCACTTCTTCAAAGAGTTTTGGATTCAGGGAAGAAGATGTTATTTGTGTCCCATGTCCCTGTCCCTCCGCCCGCTCTGGGTGTCAGCCCCGCTGCAGTGGACACCCCCACGCATGCTGCCCAAGAGCTTCCCCAGTGTGCATTGGGGCCTCTCTGCTTCTCTACCTCAGAGCTCTCTCTAAAGCCTGGCAGAAAGTTGCTTAGCTCAGGGCAAGCCCATCCCGTGTTCTCATTATCTGCCGCGGTGTCACAAACCACCCCAAAAACTGACAGGCTCAAAACAATACCAATCATTTATTTGCTCACGATTCTGCAGTCTGCCAGACTCTCTTCCACATGATCTCAAGCTGGGACTCGGATGTCCAAGATGGCACCTTGGCTGGGCAGATTCTCTGTCCCTGGGCCTTCCCCACGTGCCTAGTTTGGTTCTTCGCAGCACGGGGCTCAAGGTACTTGGGTTCCTTACATTTCAGCTGGCTTCCCCAAGAGCACAAAAGTGGAAGCTGCCAGGCCTCTTAACAGGTAGGTTCAGAAAGCACAGAAGGTCATTTCCACAGTCCCAGCCACATGCCGAGGGAATACACTCCACGTCTTACTGGGGGAGTGGTGAGGTCACTTTGCCAACAACTACGTGGGAGGGGAGACATTGTCCTGGCCATCTTCGGACAATGCCGTCTGCCACATCCAGCCTGTATGGGAGGAAGGTGGGGATTAACACCCCTGGAAGCATCCTCAATCAATGAAGGTGGCATTTGGTGGGTAAATGCAGGGCTCTTGTCCTTCAGAGGGACAGTTCCGAGGTGTACTGGCCAGGCTTTTCAGGCGATCCCAGCAGGACTGAACCCCAATTTCAACCTCTCAACAGTGCCCGCTGAATTGCCTTTTGCTTTCCCCATCTTTGTCTCCCCTCCCTTTCTGTACTTCCTCCAACCATCTCCCAGTTCTGCTCTTAGGCCTTGCTCTCCCCGGAAAACAAACCAAGACACTCAGTTTCCTCACTTGAAAAAGCCCCTTAAATGGAGCTGTAAAATATGGCACCTGCCTCCCAAGGCTGTTAAGTAATCCCGCAAGAACTGATGTAAACGAGCTTTGTAAACTGGGCGGCTGGTTAACAAGGTGAGGGGTCACTGCGAGCGGAGGTATTACTCCCTAGGGAAGTGCAGGGACTTGGGGGCTGCCGGGGTGGGAGGCCCAGTCCCCTGGGGTCATCCGTGAGCAGTGACTGGAGCTGCTGTGGGGGTGATGAGAGGTGAGGGGAGCTGCCAGAGAGGGTGTGGACAAATAAGGTGTCCCATGTCCCTGTCCTGCCTGCCAGACGGAGGTGACTTGGCACAACTACGTGACTCACCAGGTCACCACAGCCTGGGACAAGGTCCTTCAAGATCATCCACCCGGTTCTGCTGAGACTTGCCCTTGTGGGATAAGATCTGCCTCCTGATTTGGCTTCTACCCCAGGAAGAGGGATGGAGTTACCCCTGGGAGGGTCCAGAACTCTGGTCCATTCACCTTCCTCTCAGGAACCACTGAAAAACTGAGCCCTTCTCTGTGCTGGGTCCTGTGGGAAGGAGCCGAAGGTGAACAAGCCACCCGCCGCTCTCTCTTCGGGCTCCCAGTCAGGGACCCGGGGTGTTAGACCAGGAGACACGCAACTCGAACCGCATGGAAGCAGCTGCTCGCTGAACTCTTCCCGGAGAAACTGATGCCCACCATCAATCCCACCAGGCCTTAGGATGCCACCAGGAGAGAGGACGGGCATATCCCGGAAACAGCGTGGGGCAAAGACCTGGGCGGCCTGGCTCACTGGAGAAAGTTTTCTGTGGCTCGAGGCCAGAAAGGGGTGGGGGTGGCCATTAGAGGAGGCTGGGGGGGTTGCCCAGAAGAGCAATGGGAGCTCAGAGGAGTTTAAAGCAGGACAGAAAGCGGGTCAGATTTGAGTTCAGGATTCTCCCTGCTGGGTGCAGTGATGGCCGGGTGGGAGAGGGTCTGTGTTAGAGGCAGGGAGACCAGCTAAGGGGCCTCATTCACTCATTCAACAAACATCTGTAGAGCCCCTTTCAGGTGCCTGGCCCTGTGCTGGTGTGAGGCTCCAGGGGAGGGGCCGCGGGGGCCTGGAAGGAGGGAAGGGGCAGAGATTTTAGTTCTCACTGTGTTACACAAACACATTCTGGAGATTCTCATATTGGCTTCCTGAACCAGTTGTGTATGAATTTGGAAGTTGGGTACCTGTTGCTTCAGGGGTGAAGAGCTGTTATTTCGGGGCTGAGCTCAAACCTCAGGGGCCCCACAGAAGGACAGCCATTCCCAGAGACCCCACCCAGAGCAGCCCAGCCCAGCCTGCCTCCTCCTTTCCGTACTCTGCCCCAGGCTCAAGAAAGCTTCAGTGCCAGGGTGGCTGGGAGAAGCTTGACCAGCCTCTGCAAGCAGGGGGTGAAACTCTTAACTGGCATGGAGCCACAGGTCTCCTCGAGGACGACACCGGAGGTTGGAGGAAACCACCCTTAAAAGGATTTTACACCGCCCTGGAAGGAGCCCTCCACCCTTTCCCATGTGATAGATAGGTGACAAAAACCTGATTGGGTGACAGGCACAGGGAGGGTTCATCAGATGAAAACAGCCCGCCGACGAGCCCATAAAAACCCCTAGACATAGAAACTCCGTGCCAGCCCCTTCGGGTCCCCTTCCTCCTCGGGAGCTTTGTGCTATCACTTTGCTATCGCCCCATACACCTTGCTTCGCTGCCCTCCCCTCTGTCCGGTCTACCTCTTCATTCTTCGAAGCGGCCTGACCAAGAACCGCGGGCACTTAGAGGAGAGGAAATCCTGTAACATTATCAGGGTCTCACTGACGCAGGTTATGAATCTGGTGTCAACAAGGGGATTTCCCTGTGGGGGTCCTCTCCCCAGACTCCTCACCCACCTCTTCTACCTTCCGTGCCTAGCAGCTCATGACCGACAATGACCCATGACGTGAGGTGTCACCATGCCCCCACCCACCACGTGGTACCCCTCCTCTGCGCTCAATCCCGCAGCAACTTGGGGCCTTCCGGGCCCCACCTTCTGCTCCAGCTGCAGTCCCACCTTCCTGTTTCCAGGCCTTTAACTCGGAAAACTTCTGACTCATCTTAGCCACAGTGGCCTAAGACCGCACCTCCACCCCAATCTTATATTTGTGCTTCTGTGTGACACTGTGCCCCAGGAAAGGCCGACTCTGAGCCTTCATCTCCTTAGCTGAAAATGGGGCCGAGTGACCTGTGTGCCCTGTGGATGCTCTGAGATATATTTGTCAAAGGGCTTTGTGAAGTGGTCAAGTGCTAAATAAAGGTAGAACTTAAGTTACCTTGAGGCTGAACGGTGCTAAAGCAAAACCAGAGAATCTTGGACCTGTGTGGGGGGGGGGCAGGAGGTGGGGTATAGGGGAGGGAAGAGAGGGAGAGAGGTGGAGAGATGTTTTGGCAGAGGTAGGGATGATATCAAGTAGCTCTAGAATCGGTTGGTATGTTCAACACATAGGACCCTTTGTAAACACATCCATGCCTGCGTGAAAAATGTGACTCACTCCTGAAACCACAGAATTTTACATTTTTCCCAACAGACTCCAACTTTTAACTAATGTCCTGTTTGGTCCTGGTCAGGCGGCCCCAGAACCACAGAAGAGACCAATCTCCAACCAGTTGAGACAACGAAGCCTGGCCGAGCCTCCCTTTAAATGAATGCAGACATGCCCAGCTGAGCCTGGTCAGTCCTTCGTTCACATTCTCTCCAGTCCCCAGGGCCCACCCTTCCAACTCAGGCCTGGTGCATCGTTGAGTTATTCTCTGGCCCACCCTCCAAGACAGGAGCCCTTCCAGGGGACGTCAGCAGCCACAAAGCAAAGGCTCGCTTCCTCCCCCCATCCCAGTGGCTGGGGACAGATGCAGGAGCGTGGCTGCGTGAGTTTGAATCCAGGCTTGCTGTCTCCTGAGCTCTTGCCCCGGTCACTTCTCTGCGCCTCATTTCCTGGCCCGTAAAATGGGCACGTACACCTACCGCATGGCTCTGTTGCAAGATCAAAGGAGCTCATTTGTGGAGCATGAGCATAAAGCAGACTGCGGACAGTTTGCACGATCCTCACCACTGCCCCCAACCCACCCCCAACCCATCACTCTCCCCTGGCTTCTGACTCCTTCCCGGTTCTAGGATCCTTCCCGCAAGACTCCTCCCCATCCGCATTCAGACCGGTTAACTGTCACCTGCTCCAAGAAGCCCATCCTGACCACCTCATCTTAACTAGCAGGCCCCTCCCCCACCTCCTCACCTTTTTTTTTTCTTTCCCTTCTGGACCACCCCAATCCTCACCGTGACCCTCGCACCATCGTCCGTTCTCCCTACCCCCAATCCTCCCAGACTGCCCCCACACAGCACACGCTAGGCTGTCCTGTCCATCTCAAAGGCTTTATTGTAAAAATGTTAAAATAAATTACATTTGACATCATTGCCAGTATGTACATACAGTGTGTGAGTCCAGGACGGCCAGCGATACGCCAGCAAGGTGGGGCAAGGAAACTAGGATGAAAACTCATGAAAACATTCACAGAAAAACAGCAGGCCGCTCCTTCTCACCCAGCTGCCCGGCCAGCATAGCCCTGGGTCACAGGATGAATGCAGGTGTGGACACACACGCCCATCACCGTCTTCACATGTCGGGGGGGAGGGGGTGGGGTGGGGTCCGGCCCCACAGTCCTGGGGAGGGGGCTGAGAGGCAGAGAGGGTGATCACTCGCCTCCTGGCCAGCGTCAGTCGCCTGTGAGGGATGCCTCGCCCCAACCGTGCGCACTCGCTTCTCGGTGCCTTCACCCCCACTCTGCGTGGGGGCTCTCAACAGCGTGACTCTGGCTGAGCTCACCAAGAAAGGCCCAGCAGAGCTGGGGGTAGGAGAGCGAACATGTAACAACCCAATCCTTGGGGGCCTGCTCTTTCGCCTCCTCTCCCCTCTGGCTCTGAAGCCAACAATGGATGCCAGGTATATCAAAACAGCAGTTTATTTAAAAAATAACAAAACATACAGGGCAGAGAGGGCTGGCCCTAAGGGTGCGTATCGCGGAGACCCCGAGAACTCTGCCGGCCCCTCACCAGAAACAGTCTGTATACAGTTTCACATTATCATTTGCTCCCCGTGTCCCCAGTCTTTTCTTAAACACACATGCGCACCTGCGGACACAAATGCCAAACCGTGGCTGCAGCAGGGGAGCAGATTCACATCTTTGGCCCATCCCACGTGTAAGCCAAGAGCGACTCGGCCTCCCCCACCATGGGGGCCACGAGGGCCAGGGAGCCATGAGGTCCTTGTTTGGGGCACAGGGGAGGCTGGGGACAGAAGGAACCAGAGCTGAGCTTCCTCCTGCAGCTCCCTGGCTACCGCTACCCTCTCTTCCCGCAGCTTTCCCAGGGAGGGAGAAAGCCTGCCTCTGCCATCACCTGGCCAAAGGGTGAGTCAGGGAACTGGGCTCCGGGTGGCTTGGTCTGAGCAAAACCAGAAGGCCTAGGACCCTGGGCCAACTCAGAGCTTGCTCAGGTCCTGTGTATTAGGATAGGAGTGTTTCAGCATCAGCCTAGGATCTCCCCTTTCCCTTCCCCTGGGCGCCTCTTCCCTACTGGGCTTTGCAGTAGGGCCTGATAGGCAGACAAGGTGGGGTTGGGGGATGCTTATACATGCACCCCACACAGCACCCTGCTATTTGCTGAGGAGCTGAAGTGCTCAGTGCCCCCACACCATTGCTGTACCTCCTGCAAAGGCAGGACCCAGGGCTCACAGTGCCCTCCCTCCTCTCTTTCTGAAATAGCTAGCTCCGTGCTGGGCACACAGGAGCTCATTAATACTGGTGAACTCAAACGGCCGGGGCCCCAAGCCTAAGAGAACCGTGTGAAATGCTCAACCGAAGGACGTCCGAAGACCCATGCAGGTGCAGGCCTCCCCCCGGAGGGTCACCTGCCAGCCCATACATGTCTCTGAACCATCAAATACACCAGCCATACTCAGGCCAGACGCCTCCCACTGCCAGGGTGCCCATTCAGCCAGAGAACCGAGGCCCTGTCCTGGGCGCACGCTGAGTTTGACCCGTAGCATCTAGCCGGAGGGGATGGAAGGTGAGGAAGGCCCCTGGCCCCCCACTCCCAGTTCCAGGGCTGCCCCCCACCAGGGGCCAGAGGTCCCAGCTGTAGTAGGATGCCCCAGGATGAGGGGAACAGAAGCCATCGGAGGTGGGGTGGGGAGCCGGCCCTGCCTCACGTGCCTCTGGGGCAGTCGGACTGACTGTACTCGTTCATAAGCTGTTCGTAAGGCACAGAGAGCTCAGACTCAGTGCTGGTGAAGGTGGACTCGTCCGACGAGGGGAACTCGCCCAGGTTCAGGGGCACCTCAGCTTCGGCCCCCTCCTGGGGCCTCTCCTCCCCAGCCAGGTTGTCCTCTATGGAGGACTTGGATGTCTCTTCGTCCGAGAGGCCGGCCTCCTCGTCCGCAAAGGTGATGCTGACGTTCTGGAAGATGAGCGGGTGGTAGTCCTGGGCGTCCCATGGCTCACCCTCCTCGCTGATTCGATCCAGCTGGTTAATGAACACCTCGGAGGTCGGGGAGCCTTCCTTGGGGGGCCCTGCCCCGGCCTCGTCGCTGGGGGGCCGCGACACATGGCCTTTGCTCTTCAGCGTCTGAGACACCTCTTCCAAGCTGGGCACCCGGTTCTTGGAGTAAACCACCAGGGGGGACAGGGAAGTGGGGAGGGCTGGCAGCCCACCCCCCTGAGGCCCCAGCCCCTGTGCTGGGACCCTCTCCCCAGCCCCACTCGTCTTCATTGCCTTCTTCCCGATCTGCTTGATGAGGTCATTGTAGGTCTCCTCCTTCTTGGACAGAAAGCTGAAGATGTTGACGTCCTTGGACGCCGTACTCCCAGTCATCTGCAGAGCCTTTTTGGAGTGTGGGGAGCTCTCAAAGGACTCCTTCCGCCGCCGCCGCCGCTTCTTGATGGCCTTGTGGACCTCCACGAACATGCTCACCTTCCAGTTGACAAAGAGGGAAAGCCAGGCCAGCCCCAGGTAGATCCAGAGCTCCACAAAGTAGCGGTACAAGGCGTGGTAGTTGGCGCTGGGGTTCACACCTGCAGACGGGACAGGAAGCCCTGAAGGTCAGAAGAAGGTCAACAGGGACCTGGATGTACATCAAGGCCAAAGCCGGGTTCTCTGAGAGCAGGCACAGTGTCAGAACACAGAATGGGATGCACGGTGAAAGAAAGGACTAGAAACCAGACTGTTCCATCATCCTGACGGTCCAGTCATTCATGTCCCTATCTTAGTCCCCAACCTGCCTGAGCCTCAGTGTCCTCAACTGTCAGAAGTCAGGAGAGTGGTTCCCTAGGGTAAGGTAGGTTCCAGGTCCAAGGCAATGGGGAGGCTGTTAATGCAGCCAACACACAGGTCAGGAAATAGTTCATGCATGTTTGCCTTTCGATTATTCACTGTACCACATCTAGCTGTTTTGTGCACTTTTGGGGGCATATATGTTACAGTTCAGTTAAAACCAGGATGGAAATTAAGTGAGTGGCTGGCATCTTCACTGCTGGGTTTGGACTCACTGCTTTAATATGAATGGGGCTGGTGGTTGGGCCAAGAGGTCTGTGTGCACTGGTCCCAGCAGAAACTATTCTGGAAAGCCTTGATCCTCCTTCACTGGGGTCTGGCTGCCCCCTGACTTCCTGTTTCTGTCCTCTTCAGGTTGGCCCTTCCCGTGGTCTAGAGGGCTCTGCCACTCCACATCCTCCTCCTCTGAGGCCAGGCTCCCAACACCTGCTCCAGGGAGTCCTCCGGGTCACCCTGCACAGCTCTGACTGATCTCCTACACTCCAGCATTATGAGATTTCTAGCTTAACTTTACGTTTCTAGGCACACTGATCTGCGTTATTATATATCCTGCCCCCACCCCACCTTTCAACTGCGAGCAGTCTGGAAAAGGGACTAGGGGAAGGGGGCTGCCTCCAGAGTGGGGCTCCCGCAGGGCAGGGACTATACCACCCTCATAAAATTAGAGGTCCCCTGAAGACAGGTGCAGTGTTTGCCCCTGGAGACAAGAGGTGTCTCTAAGGGACGCTCGGGGCTCTTGGTCACAGGCAGGCTGTGATGACAAGCAGGGCGCATGCTAACATAGCTGGGTCCTATCCTCAGCACTCATTTGATCTTCTACCACCCTGTTAGGTAGGAGCTGTTCTTTTTAAACCAATCTTAGAGATGAGGAAACTGAGGGAGAGGTCTGAGGTCTTGCTGGAGCTGAGAAAGTATGGCTAAATATACCCCACTTCTCCAGTACAAAGGCTTCTCCTTGTTCGCTCAGGGTCCCTTAGACAATGGCAGGGCTGTGCCTCTGTCTAACTTTATCTCCCAAGACAGCAGGCCTTGATCTGCCGAGGTCAGGAGAGTGTTCGGGCCTCTTTCCTGTCCCCCGCCACCACCACTCAGCCGTCCCTCCTCGCATTTGGAGTCTCCCCTTACAATGAGGCAGAAGGTTAGTGACCTGCACCTGCCCCTGGGTGGGGGTGGGGTGTGTGGGGGGGAGACCGGAGGCCCCTGGAGCAAAGGTTGGGGTCGGCTGGGCAGGAGGCACTGAGGGAACACTGGGTCAATGCAGCCAAACAGGGGTCAAGACAATGAAGGGCCAAGATGCAGGGCAGGCCACAGGCACAAGTCTCGGAGAGGCTGGGGCCAAAGAATTTTATCACCTGCCTGGATTAAGTAGGGGGAGAGTGGGAGGGACTGTCCCGGCCCCCAGAGGGTGGGGCAGTTTAGGAGAAGGCCTCTCTTGTCTCTAAACTGCCTGTGGCAAGAGTAAAGTTTCAGGCCTGTGAGCCAAACCTCTAGACCAGCTCCCTCCGCTCCTGTGATGGGATGTAAGGCCGGCAGCTCTGGGACAGGAAGGGGGCCCCTGACTTGGCTCCGGGGCTTTCTGGGTAACAGGCTCAAACCCTGCAGGGGGTGGGGAAGGACCTACCCCCAGCCCCTAGTGAACCTAGGCCTAGGAGACAGGGGAGAACAGAGGGAGAGGAAGCAGGAAAAGCTATGACCCAAGAAAGAAAGGGAAACAGAAGAAGACCCCTTGGTGGTGGGGGGAGGGTTGCTGCCCAGGACACTGAGCACCTGCTGGGGTCTCATTAAGGTCAGCTGAATTGCAGGTGGAGAAGCAGAGAAAGAGAAGGCGGAGAGGCTGAGGCACGGGGAGAAGGGCAGGACTCACCAGCCACAAAGTCGCCGAAGCCGATGGTGGAGATGGTGATGAAGGAGTAGTAGAGGCCCTCGATGTAGTCCCATTCCTCGGTCACCATGAACACGAAGGGCGGAATCACCAGGTGGACCAGGACGCCCCATACAATGAAGATGGCCGTGCACGTGATCTGCGCCTGCCGCTGATGGGGTGGGGGTAGGGAGACCAAGTCAGAGCCACAGCAGAGACTGGGGACACTCAGCAAGGGCGCCCGGAAGGCCGGGGAGGCAGCCAGGCAGGAGGCCAGCTGGCACCAGGCCCGGGAGGAGTGTCACCCGCCCAGCAAAGGGCAAGGAGCACCGTTCCCAGCCTCACCCAGGGGCTGGGGGTCCCCGAAACTGCCCTCCCGTCCCCGCTCTAGCACCTCTGTCCATTCTTGAATCTTTCCCATCCTCCCATCACCTGCCAGGGTCCCCCCAGCACTGCCCAGCCCCCAGGGTTTGGAGACATACCAGGCTTACGCCTCTCTTGGTGAGGAACTGGCCCAGCCTCTTGGCACGTCCCCCGAAGAACTTGCCCAGGGCACTGATCCACGTCAGGCAGAGCGGCACCCCAAAGAGACCATAGAAGACACAGAAGAGGCGCCCGGCAGGGGTCTTGGGGGCCACATTGCCATAGCCTGAGGAAGAAGAAGAGAGTGAGGCACAGAGAGCCACAGCGGGGGTGATGGACCCAGACTCACCACGGTCCCTGCCTCCACTACGCACCCATACCTACACCCACATCCACACAACCACGTTCTTGACGATCACTTGCTATTGATCCAGTATCACTCCTTAAGAAATGAAATTTCACTTCATTACACTTTGGTCGTGATCATTTATAAAGCAAGTAGGATGGCATGGGCTATGTCTCCTCCATCAGACTGGGAGCTCCCTGCTGGGCAAAGCCTTCATCATTAGCAAGCCTTCCACTAGTCTATTCGGCACCAGGGTGCAAATTACAAAGAGCCTTCTCTGGGGAGACATCTCAGAAGCACCACGGGAGGTGGTCTCTAAAGATGGCCATTCTTAATCCCGTCCCTTCCCGTATGAGCGTGTTGCTGCTCAGGCCGGGCCGGCATCGGAGGCTGGGCTGCCGTGGCCGGCCTGGCCAGCGGACGCGGCGCAGTGGTGCCTGAGAGGCTAAGTCTAAGAAGCCCTGTTGCTTCTCTCCGGGATGGCCCGGAGGCTCACTCTGGGGATTCCCCGCTTGGACCCAGCTGCCATACTGGGAGCTGCCCGAGTCACTGCGTTTTCACCCCCAGCCGTGCTCTCAGCCAACAGCCACGCTCCACTGTCGAACGTGTGATGGAAGAAGCAGTCCCAGATGTCTATAGCCAGTAGTGCTTTGGGCTGATTCCAGCCTCAGACACAGGACAGCCACCGCCATTACTGACCTCCAGCAAGAACCAACTGGCTGAATCCAGCCAGCCCACAGGGTGGCGGAAGATAGTAAGTTGTGTTTTAAAAGCCCCTAAGTCTGGGGTGGTTGGTCATGCAGCCACAGATAACCAAAAGAGACTGCCAGCTCAGCGAGCAAGCATGGGCTGGGGTGATGCAGTGCACAACCTGCTCAACCCCCTGCATGGCTCAGGCTATCGGGCTGTGTCGTTTCTGCTCCAAGAGCCCAGGTGAGCACTCCTGGAGAAGTCTCCCAAGCATGGCCAGTCACCAAGAACTTACTAAATCCGCAGCAAAGTGTTCAAAGAACACAATGCAACTGAAGGCCATGGGACCAGAGCTGGACTCTTACAAGGTTCCGTGGAGCGAGGGCATGGATGTGGGTGTCCTGAGGTCCCTGAAGACTTACCAATGGTAGTAATGACCGTGGCGGCAAAAATCATTGCATTAGGCCAGTTCCAGTTGTTGAACGTCTGATTCCCTGTAATGGCCACGCCCTGTCCTGCAGCATCAGATACTACCTAGAACAAGAGACACAAAGTGACGAAATGATTTCTTCGAAGTGCCAGCAGTGGATGCAACTCCATATGAGCATTCTTATTGAATCATCACAATAACAAGGTGGCAGTTACTGTCTCCAGTTTATAGATGATGAAACATTTTATAGAGGATCAGAGAGGTTAAGAGATTTGCCCAGGGTCACACAGCTGGTAAGAATGCGAACTCAGGCACTCTGTCCCTAAAGTCTGTTCTCTCACCGAGCCAGTGCTTCTCAAACTTACTAGCATGTACCAGCGTCACCCGGAGAGCTTGTTAAATACAGACTGCTGGGCCTCACCTCCAGAGTCTGATTCAACGGGTCTGGGAAGGGGTCAGAGAATTTGCATTTCTAATGAGTTTCCAGAGGATGCAGCTGCTACTGGGCCAGTGACCACACTTTGAGAACCACTGTACTAGACAGTTCTGCCTCAAAGAAGGCACATGTGATTCAGAAACACGGGATGCCTATGCCCTACCCAGTCCTCCACAGAGAAGTCTTCTACTGCGGGACAGACCTGGGAGGGACCCCCATCCACCCCTCGCCCCAGCTCAGTGCCCTCCTGGATCTGTCTTCTGAGGGAGTATGCACTGCATCAGCTGGCTTCTTTTTCCCCGTGCTTGGAACTCTACCCTCTTTCCCTACAAGCTCCCCCTTCCCTCTCTTCTCTGGATCCCTCTCTCTGCCCTGGGCCAAGCAATTTCAAGGTCTAGGCCAGGACAGATCACCAGAAGTGGTGTGTACATTTCAGGGTGACTCAAAATCATGCGATCAGTCCAGTCCCCACAGGGCTCCCAGCAACTGTGGGCAGCAGGGGAGAGGCCACCTGGGGAAGTCCACTGGTGGCCCTAGAAGAAGCCTTATCTATTCCAGGAACTTTAATAGCGCCAAACCTGCTTCAACCTGCCGAGAATGGCCTCTACCCTCCCCATCCTTCAGTCCTGCCACCGTTCACCGCAACCTGCAGATGGCAGGGCGTGGACCCCAGCAGGGCCCGGGATTTAAGCCAGGAGTTCCAGTTCTGCCCCCGAGGGGGACCCCAGGGTGGGCCACCCAATCCAGACACCAGGAAACTCAGCCCAATTCTCTACAAAACTGAAGCCTGGGACTGAGGGAAGACAGAAGGGCGAGGGATGGAAGAGGGAGACAGAAAGCCCGCAATTCTAACCCTCCGCGGTGCAACTGAAGTCCGGTGGGAAACAAGGGAGGGGCTGGGGCTGTTCTGAAGGCACGAGCAGTTTGCCCCAGCAGCAGCAGGCCCGTGTAAACGGATCTGCAGATTCCATAAAGAATTTTCCATGATGACATGCTCATCTGACAGGCCATCAAACCACACCACCCGCTGCCCGGCCTCCTCGCGGCATTTCCAGAACATCTCCCTGCAGGCCAGGGAGCGGCTCTCCCTGCAGCCCTCCCCTCAGAGAGCTGGCCTTCTAGCCGGCCTGGCCACTTCCAGGGGCGAGCACCAGCACGTCTAGATGCCAAGGGGCCTCTGGGTCCATCTGAAAGGTTTTCTAAAAAATTAAACCTATGTCTGAGGCAGGAAAATGAGCAGGAGCAGGGTCCCGTGTCTTAATGTTAAACAGATGGTGGCTCCCTTTGGCCCTTTGTCATCTCAGCTGCCCATTGTAGGGTGGAGAGGGTAGAGCGCAAAGTGACAGACGAAGGGGAGCTCAGCCTGACAGACAAAAGGAACATTTAAGGGGAAACTGCACCACTGAGCAGAGGACAGTGCATTTGGGGCACTGAGTCTGGTCCTCCCCGTGGAGTCCCGGGGACACGAGCGCTGTCCCTCTTCTCACACAGACTGAAAGGGGTGGATTCTAGAAAATCAAACCAGAGCCCTCACAGATGTCTAAATGGGGATAGCAGAATGTTTGGCACATTCAAAAGAGGAACTGGTGGGCACTAGAAGCGAGCACAGGTTCGTCAAGAACAAGTCATGCTCAGCTAAGTGCATCTCCCGCTCCAAAGGGGTTGCAAACCCTTGAAGTTGGGTGGAATGCAGTAAATCTAGATTTCAGCAAGGCAGCTGAACAGATGGGCTTGCAGATATTTCATGTGGACAAGACAGAGAGATGCAGGGTGGAGCTGGGATTAATTTGGGCCCCTTTAAAGGCAAATAAACAACCAAGAGGTACTGATCTTTATCAACCTGGCCTGAGGCCTCCACGATCAGGCTAAAGGCCTGGCCTCTTCCATATTTTAATCAACAACACAGAAAAGACATATGTAGAGGGCTGACCAGTCTAATTGGCAAAGGATGCAAAGCTGGGGACAAGCCGGGATGGGGGAGAGAGCCAACACACCGCAACGGCAGTTTGAACTCAAAATCACCTCGCCTGGGGAAGATGGGCCCAAGCTAACAAGACAGGATTATCTTTTACTATTTTCATGTCATACACTTTGGGTTAGAGAAGACCAGTCCAGGATCCACGGGAGAAGTCCTTCGGTTTCAGCTGACCACAAACTAGCAAACACTAGAAAAGTAAATAGAATCTCCGGCAGTGTGAACACCTTCTCTCTGGAGGGCTGGGCCACACACGGGACCTCTGCTCCACTCTGGGTGTCGGCCCTCACATGATCTGCTAACCGAGAGGGAGCCGGGGTGGCGTTTTTGGATAACAAGCTACCTGAGAATGCACGGCTCTGGGCAGTGTCCCACTTTCGGTAATAGAAAGTGTTTAGAGCACAGCACAGCAGGGATGCTGAAGGTGTGACTGGACCCAGGGGTGCTCAGTGGGGTGGCAGCCCCCTCTGGGAGTGTCTGGAAATGCGGAGTGGGGAGGGGTGTCTGTGTGATGCTGCCACACACACCTTGGACGCACTGCGAGGAGATGAAATCCCTGTCCTCCCACCCACCTATGCCAGGTGATGGCGCTGGATGCCCCCCGACACACAAGACAGCCGACACTGGCCCCGCTGAGAAACACCGGCTGCCCAAAGGCCATCTGTGACTTGGGAATCAGTTAGTAAGTGCTGAGGAGACACCGAACGGAAGAGTGGCAAAACAGGGTAACCAAAGAGGGCATTACGGTTGGGGGCCCTGCGGTAGACAAGCTGGGTCTCCTGCCTTCCCCCCTGCCAATGCTATGCCCTTTGGGGCACAGCCTGCAGCCTCAGCCTCCGGCCCTGGGTTATCGGGGGCCACAGTCCCATGCACTTTCCCCAGGACCTCTGTTTTCTCTCCACGGTCATCCAGAGAGGGGCACTTGGAAGGGTCCCAGTGTCCCCAGGGTCAGAAGCACCACCAGCCCTTACAACAATCCTGTGGCAGTTCTGCCCACTGGTCAGGTCACAAAGCAGGCTCAGAGAGGTTACACGGCAGAACTGGGCTAGTTTCCGGACTATCTGGTTGTAAGTCAGTGGGGTTCCCCCGGCCTCCCTTCACGGCTCCGGCTGTCCCCTGGGCACCCCCAGCAACCCCCGCTGTTGCCTCCTCTGCGCGCATGGGCACCCAGCAGCTGGCCTGGGAATCAGCCTGGCTCCATCCCAATGCTGGGGCATGAAGTAGGATTTCTGTGCTGCTGAATGGCGGACACCCCTTGCTGGGGTGTATATACACACATCACCTAACTGGCTCTTCCTGCGATCCTGCCAGGTGTCACTCGGCAGGTGGGGAAAGTGACCAGGACTGAGGTCATCCCTGGGTTACGGAGAGTGGCATGGGGGAGCCAGGCCGATACCCTGTTAGACACGGCGTCCTGTCCCCAGGGTTAGGGAAATAGCTCTCACAGGAGGCGGCGGCCCCTGTTCACTCACAGGATTCTTTAACTTGGCTCCCACATTCACACAAGACAATATTTTCCTTTTCCACAGAACCCAGGAGAGTGTTGGGAGAAGGGGATACTGCACACAGCCCGGGCCCAGCTCTGTTTGGGGAAGGAACAGAGCGCGCTCCTGGGTCACCCTCATGATCAAGCAGCTGTGATTTACTGAGGGCTTTCTATGCACCAAGTGCTGGGTGCTAACACCTTACTGCCTTCAGCGCGTTCAATAAGGACAGAATCCTGCTGGGGAGACACCATAATTTTTTCCATTTGGCAAATGAAAATTGAAGCCTTAGAGAGGTTAAGTAAGTAGCCTGAGGTCAGAATGCTCAAAGCGAAGCTGGAGAGCCCTGACTAGACATGGTTATCCTGCCCCCCAACCTCCGCCCCTTCCCACAAAGGCCACAGGAAGGAGGCCAGTGCATACTTCCATCCCTCCGCACCAGCTGAAAAAACAGTGCCCTAAAACCAGTCCATCCACTCTGACCCAAGCTCCGTATTTCTGGCCAGGCCTCCAGGGAGGCGACATGCCCTTGCCTTGGCTTCAGGCAACCAGCTGCCCTGGGCTCTCACTGTCCGCGAAATACGGGTTCCCGGACAGCTCCGCACCCCCCGGGGATCCGGAGTTTCCCGGGCAGAGGCAGCTGCCAGGCCTCCCCTTCCCGGAGAGACTCATCCTGATGAGTGGGCAGTCCCAGGGCTGAAGTCCACCTTCAGACCCGGGCAGCTGGGGCTGAGGTCAGGCCTCTCCCCTCATCCACCTGGGGCGGGCGGGGACGGGGCACCGGAGTCAGGGTGGCAGCCGGGCTGGCGATGGCAGCTAACTGGCACCCAGGGAGCTACTCCCCACCTTGCCTCCAGCTCCCAGGCAGACATCCGGTATGGGCCACAGAGCCCTTTCCTGCTATGCGGGGTGCAGCCGTAAGGAGCCTCCTCGATGCCAACCTCCCCTGGACCCACAGGCTGTGGAGGGGGTGCAAGCCAAGCAGCCTTTACCCATCCCTGGCTGCATTTCACGCTGAGGTCCACACACCAGCAGGGTGCTTGGCAAGCCAGAAAGGACTTTTATCATTCCTCCCACCTGGCCCTCCTGGCGCCCCCTTGAGGTGGGCGGGGCAACCGCTTATTAATCTTTATTTCATAGATTAGAATAGTTATATTTGAATAGCAGCTGATTCTAAGCACTGAAGTGACCGATACCACCCAAGCATCT